ACTTTTTTTTTTTTTTTTTGGTGGGTAAATGGCATATGTATCGAAATTTAATAAATCTACAAGCATAACTTCCGAGGATATATTTAATATTCAAAGTTATGAGTTGTTCTCTGAGGCACAGAGAAGTTTGGAGGTTATAAATGTTATGGTATAATTGATTCGTTTTGTAGTACGTGTTTCAACTCAGTTTTAACTTAGTTTCTATTTCTATTTATTTAAGAAGTCTTCTTGTTTCTTAAACCCCCTTCCAAGCCATGTTTAATGCACCGACATTTCTAACACATTTTAATACTTTTATTAAATAACGCAACACTATATTAGATTAAACGAAGCATACCCGGCCACTATGCTTCCAGGCTACTTTCCATATAATTATGCAGATTGATTTTTTTTTGTTGTTGTACGATCATGCAAAAAAAAATAAAAAAATCCAGGTTTGCGTTTCCATAAGGCTTCTAGATTACTAATGCCGGCGCAGCTCTTCGATCCATTTTTAACTTTTTATTTATATCCTTCCACTGACAAAATATCTGAACTGTCTATTCTCTCAAAACTAGAAAAGTATTTTAATCACAATAAAAAGATAAGCTTGTTTTCATAAATATTAACATGAAAATATGTTTATAGCTTTGCAAGTGATGGTATTTATTTAAAGTAATTTAAGAATTCGCAGCGAATTTTATGCTATAATATATTTTAAGTTCGTGAAAGAAGAACGTCACGTTACACTTTCACACATATATACATAGTCAACTCGTTTGTAGTGGTAAGGATATTATTTGTGATGATTAACACCTTCTCTAGGATAGTCAGGAAAGTTTGTTTGTTTGTTTGTTTGTAATTAAGCACAAAGCTACACAATGGGCTATCTGTGCTCTGCCCACCATGGGTATCGAAACTCGGATTCTCGCGTTGTAAGTCCGCAGACATATCGCTGTGCCACTTGGAGGGGGAGCAGTCAGGAAAGAAAGTAACTGATTCTGACGCTCTTGTTAAAAAACGAATCGGTTGTTTGTAATTAAGCACAAAGCTATACACTGATCTTTCTAGCGTTGTAAGTCCGCAGACATACCGCTATGCCACTGGGGGGCTAAAAAACGAAAGAAAAGATGAGGTTCAAATATTAGTATTGAATTTAGTAGCATGTGTATAAATATATATAGAGAATAATGGAAAAGGATTGTAAGTTCATTTTTTATATTATCTTTCTACTCATTCAAATCAAAGAAGTGGTTTGAAGGTACGTAAGTATTTAATTTAGAACTTTTATTTAAAATATTCGTAGATGTACACATAAAGTTTTGTATTTATTATCATGAATGTAATAGGAAAGGCTCCAATGACAGACCATATAACAATGTGAATAGATCCTCATACATACTTCAATTAAAGCAACTACGACTAATTGTGTTATCTGTTATCCTGTGCTGGGTGAAACGTAAGAAAACATGACTTACAACACCTTGTTGAAAGAATTACACCGAGAAACGATTATCCATTGATAATTTGGGGAAGGTTATAGATTCATCCAGAAAGGTGCAGCGGTTAAGTTTCATACATTTCGTGCAACTGCTTGGAGATGAGATTAAAAACTATTAACACAGCCTTCAAGTAAGAGAGGTGAATAAAGTTAGTTACCTTATTATATATTCATACGTATTTATGAATGTATATATTTATAGTTACGTCAATGAAACAGACTGAAGAGTAGGACAAACACACGCGCGCGCACACACACACACATAAATGAAATAATCAAGGTCAAGCTGATTCAAAATCGACTTTTATTTTTTTTACACAAATAGTATGGTTCATAAATCAGTAAAATTGTTTACTTATATTTTAATTTACATTTACTAAAATAACTATTATGTTTGCGAGATCAAAAAGCAAAAACACAACAACACGAACACTCAAAATATTTCTCCTTTTCTCTAAAAATGAGGTCAAGTAAAAGATTTAAAAGCGAGTATATATATACACATTTATTCCTATGATATCGTCATTAACATGTTTAAAAGAAACAAGAACTTCATGTTAGGTTTAACTTTTGGATTTATTGTATCTGACTTCATTCACCTAAATTACTTAAAAATACAGCTTGGATTGAATTACTTTAATAAATATAGTTCACTCAGAAGGCAAAGCTTTTTTTTTTTTTCATTGTCATGCCCTAAAGTCTATTAAAATCAACAGTGTGCTTTGATAAGCGGCGTTTGTTTGTTTGTTTTTCTTTAAAACCTAAAATAATCGCTAATCGGCGTAGTTTTAAGGTTATTAAAGTTTCCTTATACAACAATGGCATTTTCTTTCGGTCATTGTTGAAGCTGTCATAAAGCTAAGAAATACTGAATTATAAACCTATCACATTTTATTACTTTCGCGTTATTCACTTTGAAAATACCGAAAGTTCTGTTTTCACGAATCTCAGACCCTTACGAAGTCCCTTCCCATAGGTCATATCCGGTAAGAGTGCGGCTTGATCCGAGAAGCCCAAAGAGATAAGACGGCACAGGAAAACAGCATAGCCACGCCAGCTCCCATCAAGTAGAATGACCACGACAGCTGACAAGTTCCTGAAAAACAAAAATCCGTAGAAACTTGTATTTGTTCATTTAAGTATAAAATATGTTTTTTAATATTATCATGTTACACATTATATGTTATTGTAAGCTCTGAGTACAAAACTAGGGTTAACGGATAACGTCGCACCTTTATTTCTCACTTGGTACGTATAGCACTACTAATACTATTCACGTAGTTAGTGAAAATCTGTTATTTTTAGCAACCATTATTTATACCAGCATATAAAAGAGGCATTTCGTTTCTCTAAATATATTTAGCAAATTTTCTGTTTCCTGTTTGTTTGACACTCTCGTGCATTCTTATTTGCTCCCACTTTTCAGTTCTGCTATTCCGTTTCTTATAATGTTGAGTGACTTGCAATTCACTTTGAAGTTGTAACTTGTAGTTATAAACATTTACTATTTAACTTCGTTCAAGCAATCTAAGTTCTTGGTTTAAGAAATAACTGTCATAGAAACATAACTGTCATAGAAACATAAAGAAAAAGCAAACATGCACAAAAAATTTATAGAAGTCGTATCAGTTTCTGCCAAAGGACAAAAGAGAATTACAAATTAACAAGTACTTTTTCACTCAATGACATTATAAATCCACAGGAATATGCATCATTTTATGAGGAATCCAGATGTTTACGCCGATCTATAATTGGATAACGTACAAATAAGTTATGATTAGATTTTGTTAGTAGAGTTGGGTGATTTTTAGCCTAATTTCGAAAATGGTCATGGCATTATTGTACTACATTATAAATGGAACACTCACATTCCCGAACTTTTTGTGAAACCTGTGAGGAACTGCTGAGACAACAAGACAGTCTCTGAGTGTTATTCTTTTTTTGTCGAGATGGAAACAAGGTCGGATTCAAAGTTAATCTGCAAATGTAAAGTAGTAAAATGTCTGAGGTGTTACAAGTGTAGCAGTTGTGGATGCGATCACGATGACACACCAGTTGCTTAAAGATTTAGCCGTAAGAGAAATGAAAGAAGCTTTAGCGGAGGATGTGCTGTCAAGCGCTCAAAGAGAAGTAAGTCTCCGTAGAGTAACAGTAAAATTACGGGTGTATCTGATGGCTTGCCCTAAAATGGGGATGAGAGCAGAAGGAGGAGGAGAACGATTCAAGATCAGGTAAGAAATAGAGAATGCGAAGACTGTTTCTGAATGAAGTGCAAGACTATTACAAGGATGAGAGGAGTACTAAAATAGTGGCAATATCGCATGACCACAGTGGTTTATTTTGATAGGATAGAAACACCTTACTAACTACTCGGATCAAAGAAAATAGCACAGCAAAATGATCCGTTGGTTCATGCCCTACAGAGCTACGTATCTCACTCGCAGGTATTCGGATTTCTGGAACTGATAAAATACCCACCACCTACCAAAATAGTCATATTTTCTTCTGTTTAATCAAAAACATTCTTGTTAAATATTTAACTGAAATGAGGTTAAAAAAACGAAAGAGTATTAAAATAACTAAAACTTTCTATTACTGTTGGATAGTGACTGTCAAAAGAACTAACAGTATGCAATTCTTGAGAAAATGAATTATAATGATCAGTTGCCTTCTAACTAAAAACAGGAGCTGTTGTTCAGTATAAGAGACTGCATAGAATTAATAAATAAACTCTCTAATCTCGTCACTTAAAGTGGTTTGGTGTTTCATTCGACTGAAGGCGTCACAGTTCTTCTCTGTTATATTCAACTGACACTTGTTTAATGCGGGAGTTGAAACATTAGACATTAGGACGGCGATATAGAACAAACTCTGCCGCCAAAAATTCGGTCTTGTAAAGAAGGCTTGTTTACAGGCCAACAAAAAACAAACCTCTGAAATATCGAACAGAATCTTTATTAAACATCCCTCACATGAAAATGTAGTGCACGACTAGTTTCGGCTGTGGACCTAAGTAATACGACAGGACTTTATATCACCTGATGCTTGCCTAAGGCCGAAAATAGTAGTGTTTTTTATATAGGTGTGAGGACGTGTAGGTTTGTAGAATAATAAGAAGGATTTATTATTCTATATTTATTTTAATATCAATGTTTGCTTAAATTTAATTTATATTTAGAAAGGTACATAAATTATACTGTTAAATATGTATTGCGAAACTCCCGTCTATTTCCTAAAGTCGTAGAAGATTCTCAAGTGTAAGACTCAACAATATATGTGTGTACGTAAACGCTAATGTTACGTAATCTGAATTTTCGAGAAACTCTCCACACGCCTATAAATATAACTAACGCGCCGCGCCAAAAAGGAGTATTTATTATTGGTTTGCTATAGCTATGAACTTCGAAAGCTATAACTGTGATTGTTATAATGCTTATTAATCGGGAAACTTAAGATATTTGACCAGGAACGTTTATACATTTCGAGCATTACAAACTATTTAACTTCAGTGCATTCACATTGCACATTAGTACTTTCACGAAAAAATTACCTAACGTCATCGATGGAAACTCGACCTGTAATCAGCGTGTGATCAACGAGAACTACAGGGCTAGCTAGTTCCCTGTTATGTGAATTATACCTACATCAACTCGAAATTAACTCGCTCATCGTCATCCCTCGATAAGATATCAAGGAAATTCCAGACTAGAAAAAAAGACTTTATATTGCTTGCAAGTTTGTGAAACTTTTGTATATAAATCATTGTTCTTAATAACTGTTTGTAATAGCTGTTATTGTAAATTGTATTGTTGTTTGTATATTAAAACATATTTGTATTTAAAAAACTGTGTATCAATCTTGTTGGCAAATATCATAAATTAGAGATATTTCGGAAAATATTTAAATTCTAAATCTAATTACAATTTAACTCAGTTTTAGGCTATTAGAAATTGTCATACGGAACACAGTACAAACAGAGAAGCACTAAAATGTTTGCCTTATTATTATCACTTTTAATAAGACTCTTGTTGAATTATTTGTAAAAAGTCTCTATTTAATGGATTTAAAAGTAAATTGAAATGAAAAAACTGTTATTTTCAGAAAAAAATCGAAACATGATAAAATGTAAAAATGAGGTATGCTGATGAATTCCATTATTTCTTATTATCTTTATTTAATTCTAGAAGAAAACACATTTGATTGTGGTCCAGAAAAATTTAGTAATTACCTTTGGCAAAACTTACCAAGATAGTAAGAATCGGATATTCCTCCGCATACCTCCTGGACTTCTCTGGTCCCCCAGCCATTAGGATAGATTGTGCAACCAATGATGATTACAATAGCTGTAATAAAACAAAACGAATAAAGTAGATTAATTCTTATTTTTGTGTTTGAGAACACAAGGTATAGTCGGTAATGTTTGATAGAACAACCAAGAGATAGTTAGTTTCTCTACTCATTTGCTTCTATAAAATTACAGTTCAACAACTCATTGAAGATTGAAAAAATAAAAATTTGACTCAGTCTCATCCAAACACCATTTCCTTTATTAAGGTTTCAATGAAGCGTAGAGTGAAACAAAGAATTAATTCAATATTTTGTCAAAATATATATTTCGAGTAGTTTTTTTTACGATAAGCCAACAGAACTTTGATGATGTAAATTTTATAATCTATTTTCGTACATTTCCTTAAAAATGAATATATATATCTGTAAAATAACTTGTATAAAAATGCAAACACAAGAAGTACAGTATATTGGTTGCCCCGAATGATCTTGCTCTTGTAGAAAGACAACAAAAAAAAATTGTATTTTTACGGAAGGATGTTTAAAGATAATAATTTTTACTGATTTAAGAAAGAATAGTATACTGATACAAACTCAGTAGTTGACTAAGTTAAGAAAGAGTAGTATACTAGCACAAAGGCAGAAGTAGAATGGGTTCAGAAAGAACTATATACTAAGACAAGAGTAGACTGAGTTAAGAAAGGCTGCATACCAACATAAAGATAGAAGTAGAATGGGTTGAGAAAGAACTATATATCAAGACAAGAGTAAACTGAGTTAGGAAAGGACTGCATACCAACATAAAGATAGAAGTAGAATGTGTTAAGAAAGAACTATATACCAAGACAAGAGTAGACTGAGTTAAGAAAGGACTGCATACCAACATAAAGATAGAAGTAGAAAGGGTTCAGAAAGAACTATATATCAAGACAAGAGTAGACTGAGTTAAGAAAGGCTGCATACCAACATAAAGATAGAAGTAGAATGTGTTAAGAAAGAACTATATACCAAGACAAGAGTAGACTGAGTTAAGAAAGGACTGCATACCAACATAAAGACAGAAGTAGAATGGGTTAAGAAAGAACTATATACCAAGACAAGAGTAGACTGAGTTAAGAAAGGACTGCATACCAACATAAAGATAGAAGTAGAATGGGTTAAGAAAGAACTATATACCAAGACAAGAGTAGACTGAGTTAAGAAAGGACTGCATACCAACATAAAGATAGAAGTAAAATGGGTTAAGAAAGAACTATATACCAAGATAAAGATAGAAGTAGAATGGGTTAAGAAAGAACTATATACCAACATAAAGATAGAAGTAGAATGGGTTCAGAAAGAACTATATACCAAGACAAGAGTAGACTGAGTTAAGAAAGGACTGCATACCAACATAAAGATAGAAGTAGAATGGGTTAAGAAAGAACTATATACCAAGACAAGAGTAGACTGAGTTAAGAAAGGACTGCATACCAACATAAAGATAGAAGTAGAAAGGGTTCAGAAAGAACTATATATCAAGACAAGAGTAGACTGAGTTAAGAAAGGACTGCATACCAACATAAAGATAGAAGTAGAATGGGTTTAAAAAGACGAGTATAGTAACATAATAACAGAAGAAACTGAGTTAACAAATAACAGTATACCAACACAAAAGCGGGAAAGAGTAAGTTAAGAAAGAACTGTATACCAATACAGATTCAGGAGTAAACTTAGTTAAGAAAGAACTGTAGACCAGCATAAAGAATAGAGCATACTGACATTGTTGTCAATGATATCAAATAAAATCGAAATTACAAGAGACGTGCAAGTTATATATATATATAAGTTTGTGTCGCGAAAATTGACAAAACGAACTCACTTTCGACACAAAGCTCTAGACAGTTTCCAATAATTCTTCGGTATTTTCTCAATAAATTTCAAAAAATTTAAAATAAATATTGAATGATTGAAATCACGCATTACCATATGAAATCCGCCACTTATTTAACGTAACTACGTGTTTTTTAAGGTTCAACGAAATGCAAGTTCTCGAATGAGGATTTAAGCTGAGTGAGTATTCAAGATTGGGAAGATAATAACCGTGGGCTTCAGATGCCTTGAAAACCTGGTTTCAGAGAATTAAAATGTTGATAGAAGACGACGTGTCGGGTGGTTTCAGTTTGTATTGGTAACTGATTTACCATATTCCCTACAAAAGTACGAATTTGCATTCAATTCTCAGTAGCTAATTAGAAACTTCGATGACAAGGAACCCACTTTGAGACTAATAATAGTTGGAGACGGCTTGAATGGGTAATGAAGAAAAACTTTAATATAAGTTTAACATAACAGCAAATGTACAACGTTTCGACAAGGTTTTGTCATCATCATGATGTACTTGTATAAAAAAAAGGTATTTGTAGCATGAAGTCATTCTTGTGTGACATTTGTATTATCTAAAGCCTCGTTTTATATAGTTAGAAATTACAGTAATTATTTTATAATCTTGTATAGTATTTTCTTTCGCTTACATATGTGCTTCCCAAAAGTTTATATCTAATGTAGAAATATGATCTGATCCCACACAAATGTGCCCATGTTCGTCAAGCCTAAACCATTCCTACAGAAACATGTTCACGTTCGTCACGCCTAACCCCTTCCTACACAAACATGTTCACGTTCATTATGCCTAATCTATTCCTACACAGACATGTTCACATTTATAACGTCTAATGTATTCCTACCCAAACCTGTTCACGTTTCTTATGTCTCACCCATTCCTACACAAACGTGTTCACGTTCATAAAGCCAAAACCATTCCTACACCACTCTCTTTTTTTCTTTTTACTGTTGTAATTTACATTCAGGTCGCGGATTAATCTGCATTAAAAAATACTCAAAGGTGTGATATAATAGGTAAATTGTCTGCAAGACTGAGCAAATGCAATGAAATGCGTTTAGTTTTAAATTAGTAATATTAACATTAGAGATATTTGTAAGCCAGACCCCTGCACATTCAGTTGCTTCTATCATCAAAAAGCGAACATTACGAAATGAGGATTATATTTTACTATTTTCATTTCCAAATTAATTTAAATTTAGAATGCTTTTCAATAAATTTTTCATTTAACTTGACAACAGGGTGGATGCTTGAGCAGCAAATAATTTACTGCTTGTTCTATTGAATATTTAGATTTATTCTGTTTTAAAACTTTTGCCAAAAGGTTATATATATATATATATATGTACTATGTAGCTAAGTAATTGCATAATTCCAAAGAATATGTGTTGATTGTAAACAGGAGATTAATGACACTATAAGAAAATTGTATAATGTATGTTAATACCGTTGCATGTTGTCGCATATATATATTTTTTTAGGCAGATTTTGTTAAACAAGACCGATGTCTGTAGGTTTACTTTCTTCTTAGAATTCTTCTCAAGAAGTCGATAAGCCGTCTTAACGTTGTTAGATATATATATATAGCAGGAATGGGGGCAAAAGCGTAAAAGCCCTAATTTTCATATAGAAAGACGTTTTCTGATTGTATTCGATTGCTTTAACAGTTTTCCAAGATTGGAAAAATTACCACCTGATAGTTCAATGCCGCCATAGCAGAATTATAACTGGAGTAATATGTCAAAACACTTTTCAACAAAGAATATTCATACAACTAGACTGTTAAATGATGTACAGCCAACATACAGAGATTTTATAAGAAAGGGGCTTTTAGTGTTCTCGTGGAAGAGGAAAATTCACACAGTAAAGAGTTTATGACACCAACAGGCTCTGAAACCATCATCAACCCAAAAAATAAAATCCAGACCAATATCCTCATTACAACGAAAACTGAGGTTAAGAAATAAACCCCCTTTGACCCAAAAAGCTAATGTGATGAAGTTGAATATATCTCTTAGTATCATTACCAAAATGAGAAAATAAAGGGGCTTGAAGTTGACGAAGGCTTACAAACCACTTCTATCTTTTGAGGCCTCTGGCTATAATTAAAAATATGATGATATATGAAAACAAAATAAGACATGTCTGCGTATTTATACTGCCAGAGACCAGGTTTCGATACCTGTTGTGGGCAGAGCACAGATAACCTTTTGTGTAGTTTTGTGCTTAACTACAAACAACAACAACCTTAATGAATAGCACGTGGTATTTAGCATTTTGATCACAAAGCTTGATATTTTACGGAAAACACAGTTATTTCATCTCGTTTATATAAGATCATTTTTATCGTGAATTTAAACAAATATGTTTGTATGCTCATCCCTTATCTACTGTCCTTTTCTTCTGGTCTATTATCATTACATATTTGCGTTCATCCTGCTTTGCATTTCCAATGCAGTATACAGCATTTTAAATTAAATCTCTTTTGTGATCATTCAGCAGTAAAAAGATTTAGATAAAACTTGCTTTAACTCACTAAATTAGTGTAGCGTTTTGAGTTAAATCTCTGTTACACGTGTTAATTTTAGGATAAACTTCTTTCCACTCATAAACAGTGTATTGTATCGTATAGGGTGAATATCTTATGCTCGTTAATACTGCGTAATGTAGTATGTTTACCTTTAAGGATACTTATTTCTTACAGAAATGGGTTATGATAGAATCAGTTTCGATTGCATTTGTACTACAACATACTTTAAGGATCAGATACGAACAAAATTATAAAGAAAATGGAAACGTCCAATAATTATCACCTACTTTTTGGTATATGTCTTTTTCAGTTTTATTCATGAACTATGTTTTTAACCCCCTTGTTAATTGAATTAACAAGAAAGAACATGTTTCACAGACTAGCAACATAAAATAAATATTACACCACACCGCTTGGGGGGCTGAGGCAGAGAGGAAAAGGGAAATGTCAAGAGTAACTCATACATTTCTTACTGAAAAAAATAGAAAACCCTAAACCAAAGAGCTTTCGGGTGAACAAGAATGTTTATTTCAGGATTGTATGCAAAGCTATACAGCGACTATCTGCGTATAGCCGTCCTTAATTATGAAATTATAGACTAAAAATAAGGCGGCTACTCAATGCCACCACAGTTAACTCTTAAA